TCTTCCTCCGAAAGGGGGAAGGCGGAGAAACTCAGGGCTATTAGATGAGTGATACAACTCTGCCATCTGCTGTACCCAAGCTGTAGTTACATCAGGGTGGAGTCTGTGGGCTAATGGATACATTTAGAACTGAAAAAGGTCATCTGGTACGAACTGCCTCCCTCACTTTACAGAGGAGAAAACCAAGGCCCAGAGAAGTTAAGTATTTTGCTCCAGAGTACACGGGGTTGGGAGGGGGCAGCCCTTAGAAGACAAGTTCAGTGTAAGCTCTTAGTAGCTTCTAAACTACTCATGTTAAAAATCTCTGCTAATTCATTACAGCAGTATCTGTAATCACAAATACCATGAGGATACAAGAGAGTTGGGCTACACAGAAAAGTCTCTGAGTTTGGAATTTAAGAGAATGTACAAATAATTTTGAAAGACTTTAAGAATCCTGATCAATGCAACAATCAACCATGACTCCAGAGGACTGTGATGAACACTATTTATCTCCTGGGAGAGAGGTGATAGTCTAAAGCAGAATGAGTCTGCACAGTTTTGGCCAATACAGAAATTTATCTGAGTTTTTCTTTTCTTTTCTAGTGGGGAAGGGAGGTGGTGAGAGGGGGAAAAATTAATTCTTGGCAAGAAAAAATAAAATGTCTAAGAGACCCATATAGGGAAATTTTGAAGGCAGCATCCACTTTTAATCAGATGAGGAGATACTTTCTTCTAACAGACAATGCATGGAAAACATGTCTATTTCCTAGAAAATTACATTTTTTAAAATGTCAGTATTCCATGTTAAGAGTTAGGCAGGATAGCAACGTTTCTGTGCCATTGTATTCACAATTATAAGTGGTTTTATTATAAATCAAATCAATAAGAGATTCGAGGAAACTCAATATACTTTCATGGGAGAAAAAAGGTCTATAATGAAAATAAAGGCTCAGAAGTAAAAAACAAGAACACATACAAAAGACTGATGGCTGCATAGCCAACAACAAATCTTAAAGAATGGAAGGAACTTGTAAGAATTGCTTCAAGAGGCTCCAAAAAGCCCAGAGTGAGCTGAGGTTTGCAAAAACACACATATATTAAAGACAACTCAAAGAGTTTTTTGAAAAAAGCTGTGCAATTACAATGACTATATTTAGCCCCAAGCAGAGTTGAGAAAATGTACCTCCCTCTTTTCTTTGCAAAGGTGATAGTTTATGGGTGTGAAATATTACCAGACATAGTTGAAGCTTCTGGATTCTTTTGGTTGGTTTTGCTGAACCAGGTTTCTTTTTCTTCTCTTAGGCTAACCCAATGTAGCTATTTCAGACTTTCTTCTCCAGGCCCTAGTCCTACTTAGCATTTGTCTCCTAGGTAGGGTAGAGGGAGAAGGGATATAAGTAAATGTGATGTAATGTAAAAACAAAAGGCATCAATAAAAATAGTTTTTAAAGTTATGTTCACAGTTAGAACAAGCAAGGGAAAGGGCTCCTGTTTAAGGAAACAATATAATGTTAATGTAGAAAGCTGAATAGCCATTGCTTTCATCTTTATCAAAGAGAACACTCAACAATGTAAGAAGCAGATTTAAGAGAGATCAAACACTGTGAAGAGAGAACTGTACATATAAGACCAAAAGTCATTCTCCAATTGATATGAAAAGGATATGAGCAAATAGTTCTTTCAAAGGACTGTACCCTATTAATAACCAGACGAATGTTACAAATCACTAATAAGAGAAATAAATGCAAATCAAACAATTCTGGGGTTTCACTTTCCACATAGCAAATTGGTAAAGATAACAAAAGCTGGGAATAAGAGATGTTAGGAGGGGTTATGGAATCACTAACATTAATAAACATGCTGTTGGTAGAAGCGTGAATTGATACAACCATTCTGGAAAGCAATTTAGAATTATGCAAATTAAGTCACCATACCCTTTGACCCACAGATTCCACTGTTAGGCATATACCCCCAAGTATAAAAAGGAAGATCCTGTATAAAGAAAAATATTTTTGGCAGTACTTTTTATAGCAACAAAGAACTGAAAACAAAGTAGATGACCGATGATTGGGGAATGGCTCTACAAGTTTGTGATACATGAATGTAATGGAATATTATTGTGCTGTCAGAAATGCTAAAAATTTATGAAGAGAAATGTGGGAAGACATAAGAACTGATGTAAAGTAAGCAGAACTTAGAAAATAATATAAATGACAACAACATAAAATGCAAAGTTCAACCATAAAATAATTGAAACAGAATGGGGCCAAAATATAATAACGACCAAACTTGGTACCAAAGAGATGAAAAGGTACCTCTCTCTTCCCTCCTCTTCCCTTTTTTGCAGAGATAAGGGACCACAGGTAGGGAACACTACATGTCACTTTTTCAATATTTTTGTTTTGCTGAACTGTTTTTCCTTTTTACAAATTCTATTATAAGGAATTGCTTTCTGGCAAGATAAACTGTGATATTAAAATTTAAAATAAATCAATAAAAATGTAATATACAAAAAAAAGTATTGAAGCCCAAGAAATTAAAAGAGTATCTAAAATTTAAAATTATTTCAAGTCCCTAGGACTGGAAAAATTTTTATCACAGAGAACTGAAAATATTTCAGATCCATCTGCAAGCTTTTTCAATAGTCTTTGAGAAATCATGGTAAACAGGTAATGTCTCAGAAAACCAGAGACAGAGAAATGTCCTAATTTTAAAATGAAAGAAAATTATTTATTCCAGGAACTACAGATCTGTGGCAAAAATTGGTGAAAAGATTATTCAACAGCATGTTTATAAGCATAAGAAAGAGTGGTCAACCATGGATTCACCAAAAAAAACATTATGCCAAACTTCGTTTTTTTTTTTTTAGGCAACTGGGGTTAAGTGACTTGCCCAGGGTCACACAGTTAGTTAAGTGTCAAGTGTTTGGTCTGAGACTGGATTGGAACTCAGGTCCTCCTGATTTCAGGGCAGTGCTCTATTCACTGTGCCACCTAGCTGCCCCCAAACTTCATTTTAAAAAATAAAATTATTAAACCAGTGTAGAAAGCGTATTTTGATTTCAGCAAGGGAAATAGAGTAATGTGGGTTCGACAATAGTATGATAGTACAGTTAGGTGAACTGGACTCTGGTTGAACAATTCAGCATTCAAAAAACGTTGACTGATGGATTAATAGTAACCTGGAGGGAGGCTACAAGCCAAAGAACCTCGTCCTGGTCCTGTTTTAAATTTTTAATCGATGACTTGAAAGACGCCTCGCTTATTAACTTTATCGATGACACAAAGCTAACAATGGTAGAAGTCAACTGGTATTTTAAAAAATCTTAACAGGTTAGAATGAGGTAGTGTGGTACAGTAGAAAAAGCAGAAGCTTTAATATTCAGAGAATCCGGATTCAAATCCCACCATTTATGATCACTGCTTCTGTGACCCTATGCAAGTTACCTAACCCCCAGGGAGCCTAGGGAGCCTCATCTAAGGATCCTATTAGATGAGGAGGTTAGACAAGATGACCTCTGGGGTTCCTGCTAGCTCTATGATCCTATGGCCTTAAGAATGGAATCAAATTTTAGAAATTCAATTTGAGATAAATGTAAGGAGCTGAATTCAGAATGAAAAAAACAAAAAACAAAACCACCAATCACATGAAATACAGCGTACAGAACAATCATCTTAAATTCACATGAGGAAGACCCAGAGGTTCTGGCTGACCTAACTGACCTAAGTGTCAGGCACGTTGCGAAGCTGCTAAAGAAACAAGCTAACGCAATCAATCCAAGACCACACAATCACCTACTGAGCGGCGCGGCGCGTCCCTAAGCCAGAGCCGCCAGTTCTTCTCAAGCTCCTTTAACACAATCCAAGAACACACAATCATCTACTGTGCGGCACAGTGCATCCCTAAGCCACAGAGCCGCCAGTCCTTCTCAAGCTCCTTCACAGGGACAGGCCGCAGTAAAGGTCGCAAAGTAAGGACCTGAGGGGGATGGGAATGGGGGAGAAAGGAGTGAAGAGGCAGAAGGAGCCCTGGACCTTGACGTCGGACCAGGGTTCAAATAACAGCTCGGGCTTGTCGCTGAAGCCTCTGGCTCCCTCTTTTGTAAAAAAGAGAGTAGGTCCCTTCTGACTATGGACACAAGCATAAACTCTGTGCCTGCTTGAGGTTCTTCCCTCAGTCATTCACATCTCTGATCTTCAAAGGCATTAATTATGGAGACTGAAGGAGGCCCCTCACATATATCAAGTATACCCAATTTATTAAAAATCAAAGATACGATGCTCTTAATGCTAAGTTCATTAAAACATAAGCATTGAGACACATGGTAGGTGCTTAAGGTGTTTTTTTTTAAATAAGCATCAAGATTAATGGGATGAAGAGAAGATCCAGAATCCCAAATAAGCAGTTCTAAATTTTATCAATTCCTGTTATAACTTCCCCAACCTACAATGTCTAAAAAAAAAAAGGCAAAATATCTGCAACCCAATTTGGTACATTCTTTCAATTCTCGCATCCTACGGCAAAACTCAATCACATTTCCCTCCACCATGAGGAAACATTTTCCAGATAAGCTTGCCCCAACCTACTTCTAGAATTCCTCAGGACTCTGTTTCTCAACAATCTTAAACCTCCCACTACTTTTGCTCTGAGAACAGTACCTTTGTCATTTACATAAATTCAGCATCATTCTTCCACAATGACATATCTTTAACAGAAAAGGTTCACAGCAATTATCAAGACAAGGAAGCAGAAATGGGTGATTTATTTTTGGTTGCCATGCTGGGTGACCAAAGGGGACGGATTAGAATTCAGGGATGAAAGCTCAGCTATAAGTATAAGCCAATTAATACTGAGAAAGGATGAGCTATTTTTGTCCCCACACCCAAACTTAAAAAATAAAAGGGCTATGCCCCTGCATCAAGCAGAAATACTCCTCTTTTCAATTATAACCAGGAAGGAAAAGATAATTCAAACACTGAAAAGTTTCCCCACCATCACTCTTCCAAAGACAAACACTCTTTCATACCAATAGGTACATTTATTCACACTTTTGATAAAAATACCAGTTATTAGTGAAATTATTACAATCCCAAAAGTAACTACTACACTGACATAACCCAGTGCCACAGATCAGCACATGGAATCATACAGAGCATCCCAAGTACCCTAAGCACCTTTATGATTTCTCTCTTTATACAGACAGTAACTCCTGTAGGTAATGGATACTAATGGAATCCACTGACTGTTCCCTGATTTCATCCCTTCCTGAAATGAGGAAAGGAGGATCAAGGAGCTTGGGCTCTTCAGTGTGCCTGTGTCATATCATCAGAACAGATGCCAAGAAAGGTATTGGTAGGATCACTATCTTGGCACGAGACCAAATAGACAGCAAGGGTACTATAAGGTGATGGTTACTTTTAGGGCTAGATCCCTTCTCCCAAGATAGAAACAGGGTGTGAAGGATGGCAAACAGAAGTTTCCCACCTAAATTTTGATGACAAGGGAGACTTCAAAATCACCTACCACCTTACAGACTGCAATTCTGTCACAGTAACTGAGCCCAGATGATACCACCCTTACTACTCTATACCCTATAAATGAGAACATATCTAAATCTGGAGATCGCACACTTGCCTTCAGGCAGGATTCTTCCACAGTCATTATAGCCAATGTACCCATCCAGAGAAAGGCACTCTAGTCAAAATCAAAACCTAATAAACCCAGTTAAAATCATTCATCCCACTCTGCAGATTCTGTTAGCCTTCCGGTTCGACCTTTCTCTGGCCACACTGGTTAATATACCTGACCAGAGCCAAGACATTCCAGCAAAATTCAAGTCAACCACGTAAGAGCCAATACCATTTCAATGCAACAAGTAGAAGAGAGGTAATGGGAGAGGTTTTGTCAAACTGCAGTGACTGAGGAAAAGTAAAGGAATGAGGCTTCTCTTTAGTTTTACTCCTTCCCTGGCTTCAATGCTAGGCAAAATGTTCAGATGAACAGGTATATAAGTAGCTCAGCCAGCATTTCTTAATGATGGCAGTTATGGTTATGGCTAGGTTTTTCATTCTAAACATCCTACCTTAGCTTGTGATTCTGAAACCTCTATGGGAAGAAAACTGTATTCCCTTCCCTGCGTGTAGTCTTCCCAACTGGGAACTAAGGATAAATCCCTGGAGAATATCTCCATCATGATTTCATGCCTAAGCTTCACCACAGGAAAAGGGTCTATACAAACCTTACGAACATTCAGAAATAAGACTGAGTTAAGTCAAACCAAGAGGGCTAACAAGTTTGGCACTTCCTTTACAGTGAGGTTAAAAAGGAATCTTTTGTAGCTAGACTAAAGAGGAATCCTCAAAGCCAGTAACAACTGTGTGATTCTCTATTCCACTTTCTCAATCAAAAATTAACACAAAGTAAAAAATAAAGTTTAATTCAATATCTTTAGTAAGTTGCCTTACCATCATCTTGCCTGATCGTACCTGAATACTGTTAATGTATTATTGTCTAAAAGGGCTTCCTTTATGTAGGAGTGGATGGGAAGGAGATGATGGGTAAGAAGACATAGTTCAAGCCAGAAGGGCAGCAAAAGTATTAAGTAGATTTAAAGTGTAATCTCCCAGGGAAAAATGATCCTTTCTGGTAGAGGAAGGGCATTTCTTGGCACAGCTTTCATGTTGTTCCTAAACAAAGATCAAGAAAAGGCACTTGGGCCACACAAGACTGTTTCATTTATAGTCAGCATATACAAAGACCTACTGCCAAGAGATTTCTCAATACCCCTTTCCCCCACAAACTGATGAAAAAACCCTAACAGCCTTGTTAGGTGGAGTCTTCAGGAAGTGAATGGAAGCCAAGTCACTGCAGAACTGATGGCACAAAGTAAAATCCAGGCTTGAGGAAAATGTTCCAAGAGGACAAACGGAAATGTTCTCATCCTTGCAGAGGTGTAAGAAATCTGTTTCAGAGTACCTCAGTGAAACAATGAATTTAAAATTCTTGGGCCAGGAACACAACAGCTTTCCAGGAGAGATGCCATCTTCTCAAAGGCTCTGGCAAAAGCACTGAAAGAAGTCAGGGCCAGGTGAATTAGACTCCAGTTATCAAACTATGTGGTCTTTGTGAGTAAAGCAGACCTCTTCCAATAAACCTGGCTTTTCCCTGTTCTGCAGCAGGGGATTAAAGGTCCAAGGCAGGTATGAAACTTCTCCTCCCCCCTCCCCCAACCTAATTCCCTTTAAGCATATTCAATGCGAGGAGGGCCACAGTTGCCCTCACTCTTTCGATCTGGGGTCTGAGTGGCTGCCTTGGCCTCACTGCCAACATCTAAGGGTTTGGCTGAGATGTAGTCCTTCACTTTGATTTCCATGTTCTTGGCTTTCAGAGTGGCCATATGCAGCTTCTCCAGGAAATCTGGCATGCCTATTAGAGAAAGGGAAGATGTATATTAGTGACATATAAAAGTTAGAAGGTACTCATATCATTAAGAGCAAGAATTTATTCCTCTCCTGAGATCACAACTCTGACAGTTAACTTAGGGAACACTGTAGGGATGAAGGTATATCATGGTTTTGCCCAGAGGAGGTGTGTCAAGCAGTCAGGTGGGCAAAGAAGGTGAAAAGGGGATTCCTGTATACATCAGTAACTATCTTCCCTGAGCAGACCCAAAGACATAGTTCTTCTTCTGGTCTTGAAAGCCTTCTTCAAGGTAGAGATGCTCAGCCCAGGTCACATCTCTGTATTTGGAAATATATCAACTGGTAAAGCTTCATCTCTACCTATATTCCTTTCACCTTTCTCCCCTACCCAAAAGAGGTTAGAAAACCTACTTGTTCATAGTAGAAAAGAAGAAAGTGACATGAGAACAATCCTAAATACAAGAAATTAGAAAGAAGGAGAAACAAGATGAATGCTATGACATGAAGCTTTGGTAACATCTTTCCAGGGCAACTTTAGCTCCCTGACAAGCACATCTTTCCCACCATATCTTGCTTCCTTCAATACTACCTAAGAAATATAAATGGGGGCAGCTAGGAGGCACAATGGACAGAACAACAGCCCTGGAGTCAGGAGGATTGGAGCTCAAATCTGTCCTTAGACACTTGCTAGCTCTGTGACCCTGGGTAAGGTCACTTAACCCTGACTTCATACCCCCACATAGATATATTGAGTAAATACATATCACAGAGTCCATGTGCAAGGCCCCTCAGGTAAATGGCAATGGTTCTACAAGCTAAGACTTCAGGTTTTTTTAATATCATAATCTCTTCATTGTTTAATGGAAGTATCACTGGTCTTTCAAGATTCTGAACATTGCTATTGTATACAAGTTCATTTCTAAGTCGCTAAAGCTTTAATTCTCTCCACATTGCCCTTGATGTATTAAGAAATAATAAGAATATTCCTGATGTTCAGGAACACAATCTATAACATGCACCCAACTCAGGTTACATTCCCACACATACAAGCTATGAATACTCACCACTGGAGACCATCCAGCTGACACAGTAACGAGGAAACACAGTTTGGGGATTGTCACTATATGTCAGCAAATAGTCAAAGCCATTCTGAAAAAGGATAATAGGGTTGGATAAGGGACTTTGTGTCACTCATCATAACTTTCCCAATCAACTCCAAAAAGTAACCAGGTCCTATTTCTGGAAAGTACATCAGTCATGGATGCTTATCTCCAGTGGTCAATGTTGGCAGCTGAGATGAAGGTCTAAGTCTTTTGATGATAAGTGAACAAGTGCTGGGCAACTATGAGTAGAGCACTTTGCTAGGCAAGGTGGTATCAATGCATAAAGGGAAAAAAATGAAGGTTTATAATTTAGAATAGTGATTCCCAGAGCGCCTACGCATCCTGTATCTTAAGAAAAAGCTTCTTAAAAAAAAAAAAACAAAAAAAACTTGATACAATACTAGGCACATATCTCAAGGAAGCCAAAGGCAAAGAAAGGTCATATGTATACTCAAATATGAATTACAGCACTTTTTATATGGTAGCAAAGAACTAGAAACAAAGTAGGTCCCCATCAGCTAGGGAATGGCTAAAGTAACAGTGGTACTTGAATGTAACACACTAGCGCTGCATTGTAAGAAACAACATGAAGAATTCAGGGGAAAATGGGGAAGCTTTTATTATCTGTAGTATGAAGTAAACAGAACCAAGAAAATAATGTTGAATTGTTTTACAAAAAGTTTTAGAGAAGGATAATCATTTAAGTGATGATGCTTCACCCTGATCCTTTAAAGAAGTGAAGGATCATGGGAGTGGGATCCTGAATATAACAGACTTTTCTGATATCTTACTCTGTTTTGCAGAATCTTTCTTCCTTCATACTTTATTACAAGGAATAGCTCTTTTAGAGAGGGTAGGGAAGGGAATATAGTGGGAAATAAGTGATGTAAAAACAGGAAATATGAACAAAAAATTTTTTTTTAAAAAAGGGAGAATTATGGTTCCATGTTTAATGAAATAAATTAAAACTTTTGTTACTCTTTTTGTGACAAGGTAGAGAACTAACTTCAAAGTCAGGAAGACGAGGAAGACACAAATGTGACTCTAGGCAAGACATTTAACCTCTCACCGCTCTAGGCTATTTTACGTTGCAGAGAAGGTACCAACATGCATTGGTAGGGGGAGTTTCCTCACTATTTGGAAGTTAAGGAGACATAAAAACAAAATATATTAATTACTGTTTAAATCATCTCCCATTTCTAGCATTTATATGAATTTTAAAACCTTCCCATGAAACTTAAAACTTTATCACAAGGCAAGAACTATTAAGAGGCATATTTCAAATAGAGAACTAAACGTTCATTTTAATAGTTTCCATTCAAGGGGCAGAATGATGACCCCTTAACATGAACAACTACCCAGACAGGTTCCCCTTTAAGACAATACACTGAAATAATACTCCCAAGTTATTCATATACGTTTAAAACCAAGTGATAAATAGGAGAAATTAGAATCACAGAAAGGATAAATAAAATTCCAGATACTCAGCTAAGTAAAGAAAGATGTTTGGAAAGTATTCTATGGTGTGACTAGAGAAAGGATGCTACCTAGTCAATGAATCATCTACTTGGCCATTAGTATGACAATGCCTCACCATTACCCCATGAGTTGGACCCAGAAAAATGCAGCTGCTAATCACCACCTTATTCTGGGTCTCTTCCATCAATGCCATCCAGGTGTACACTAGCAGCTGATTTCCACCCTGAGGTCAAAACCATCCAGACATTCATGGCTGAAAGAAAGCTCACCTCATCAAATGATTTGTGGGGGCGGATAACCATCTGGGACTCATAAGACCGGACACGAACAAATTCAGGAGATTCTGGTACATTAGGATGTTCTACTGCACTGTGAGAGAGAAGATAAGATGAATGATAACTTTGAGGACGAAAGGATAACGCCAGATATCACTTGCCTTTGCAACATGTACATTAAAACAATATTAAGTTTCATGAGGCTAATGATTGGGGCAGGGGAGAAGCAGGAAGCCTTTTTTGGTTAAAAATAAACAGACAAACAAGGAACAAAAAAGATTAAAAAAGAAAAAAATTTTTGTAATGCTGCTATGATTTCACTGATCTAGGGAGTTCCCAGCAAAGAAATCCCCTTACCAATGCATTATCTGCACCTACTCAGCAGATTCAGTCTTTAATGAGTTTCCTGAAGTATTTGTGACATTAAGTGACTTGCCCAGTGTCACAAAGTCATGACATGTGAAAGCAGGAAGTCTTCCCAACTCCAAAGTCACCTCTCTGTCCAATATACCATGCTGCTTCTTTGTAAAATATAAACTAATTAATGACACCAAAATGTGCTGCACTACCCCCAACTCCAATTTATCTTTTGGTAGCCAATTAGGAGGTGTCATTCTAAAGAGATTTACTTGTCTTTGTGGAATAATTATTACTGGGATATTCTTTCTCTTTAAATCATTCCTGATAAACATAGAACATTTGCTGCATAGAATCCATTGAGGAGAATGTTAAGCACCCCAAAGATATTCAAATGCATCTATCAACAAAAGTGAAGGTTTTACTCAAAATTACTATTTGCCCCACTGCCAACTATACGCACCGTGACACCAACACCATCACATTGTTTTCCTGATCCACGCTGTACCTTCGTACGTACACATAATCCCGTGAGTACATTGGATACTGAAGAAAGAAAGAGAATTAGGTGTCTGCATCAGCTATATCTGATGAAAGTAAAAACATCTACGAAAAGAAAAGTACTCACAGGAAAATGAGTCACCCAGTGAAGAACTTCAGAGCCACTTATCACATCCCTCTCGACCACTTCCAGTTTGATGACCAGAGCATCCCACTTTTTCCTATATTCTGTATCCAGCTGTAGAGAGAAAGAACATATGAAGACTAAGAAACTCCAAATAAAGTTTTGGAAAGCTCTATTAAAAAATTTCCCAAACCCTAGCCACTGGAAAGTGGGACACTGAGCACTGCTTCTGTTTTTATTAGCTAAAAGAATGGTAAATTAAAAAAAAAAAAGCTAAGAGAATGTTAGAAAAGGAAAGTTACCATGTACTCCACAACAAAGATCATATGTTAAAAAAAAAAAAAAGGAGAAAAATGAGGAGCATAGAATAACTCATTTTTGTCATGGGTATGAAATATTTTTGTGAAAATTGACACATCTGTTCAACCTAACTCATATGCTAGGACTTAAAACTCTCACAGAATACTACCCTACAAACAGTTTCGCTGCTGTTTAAAGTTGTCTTCATATGTCATTTTTTTGGTCCAGATCTGTGAGTTCATTGGTATAGGAACTCCCCATTTAGAAATTTCCTCTGCTGATGCATACTGGCAACTGGCATATAATATAACTTCCCCAGCTGCCTGGGGAGAAATGAAAGATTAAGTGACTTGCCCAGGTCATACAGCCCAATGTCAGAGGCAGATCTTAACGCCAGACAGGTTCTCCACTACATCATACTGCTTCTCATAGCTACAGGAGGTAGAGTGGGACTTAGAGGGGAAAAGGGAGACCACTACAATCACAAACTCTAAATGGCACGGTACATTAAACAGGTACTTCTAAATAGCATGTAATTCTGATATTTCACATGGTTTCCAAGTTACCTATCAATATTTTGTGAAAATAAGTTATGAAACTAAACTAATGACTACAGACTAAAGCCAATTACGAGGAAAACAAAGATTACAGAATGACTCAAGCTAATTACTTGCCCTACAAGGAAAAATCAAGAGTCTCAATCCATCCAACTTTCCAGGCAGCAAAAAAATAAAAAATAAAAATCTTGCCATAGTTCAGATCCAAATAAAAGTAAACTCCAAAAAACTAGCAAAATTCTTTGGCTATACTGAATATATGTTGTGTTTTATCTATTTAGAAGGCCATTACCTAGAGCTCAACAATATTATATTGCAATAATAACGATTATCAAAACACTTCTATAATATTTCACACTTTTAAAAATAAACTTCATTATATTCTCTCACTTGATATTTCCAAGAGTCATGTGATCTGAGACAGAAATCATATTATACCCATTTGACAGATGCGAAACAAACGCAGAGAGATGATGAATGGCCTAAATCCACAGAGATACTTTGTTGTAGCAAAAAATGGCCAACTCAACATCCTGATACAAGTATTGTTTATTTGTATAGGAAGATTTTTCTGGACAATTTTCCCCCCCTCTCAGGAGTACTAGTTAACTTTAAGCTTTGGGGAAAAAAAGTTGACCTACCTGAACATTGAAGAACTGTCTAGGTGTCACATCAGTATATGTTCCAAAAACTAAAAGGAAAATAGAAGGTGTGTCACAAGTGTTACTTGACTTAGTATTTCAATTGTGATTAGGGTAAAAATGTATCACTGAGTATTTATTTAAAGACAGATGCAAAAACTAGTAATCACAGTAGATCTGGGGAGAAAGAAAGAAACATATTTTATAAACCTGAAGACTGACAATAAACAAGTCTGGAATATAAGAAAAAGAGAAAGGCAGATCTAAATGGAAGTCAGTAGCAATAAAGCAGTGTGAGAAAAAGCAGCAAACAGCAATGCTACAACTCTGTACTCCTAGCCAACAAGGGCACCTGGACCACGTTAAGCCAGAAAGGAAAGCTAGGACTCACCCCTGTATTGGTAGAGGTGAGTGCCACTGATTAGGCGCCTCCAGAGTCTGAAGTGTTTCTTGTCCATTACCATTTCCCATGGCTGCTCTTTGGTGGCCTTGTCACTTGCTTCTTCTGTTTGGGGTTTCAGTTCAGGGGGGTGGCACTCTACTCCACTGCTTCGGAACGCACTAGACATTTCCTCCATTCTTTTCATCTCATCAATAGATCTGAGAAAAAGGAAAAGTGAAGAGATCCTGTGGAACCTTATGATCACTGTCATTATCCGAAAGAAATTTCAGTAAAAACAAACAAAAAAACACCATGAGAACATAACGGGGGGGAAAAATCTCCTTCATTCTGAGAAACATAATTTCAAAACCCAGAAAGGGTCAGAGCTTAAACTGGGGTTGATAGCTATTTAAACCTGTGAGGAAGAGAAACAGCACTTTCAATTATATTTTCAAAGGGCTTAAAAGTTGTCATTAAGAACTGAATAACTTGATTATATTAAACTGAAAAGTCTTTGCACAAAGTCAATGTAACCAAGATTAGGAGGGAAGCAGAAAACTGGGAAAGAATATTTACAACCAGTGTCTATGATAAGGGTCTCATTTCTAAAATACATACAGAACCAAGTCAAATTTATAAGAATACAAGTCATTCCCCAGTTGATAAATGGTCAAAGGATATGAACTGGCAGTTTTCAGATGAAGAAATTAAAGCTATCTATAGTCATGAAAAAATGCTCTAAATCACTATTGATTAGAGAAATACAAATCAAAACAACTCTGAGGTACCACATCAGACCTATCAGATTGGCTAACATGACAAAACAGGAAAATGATGAATGTTGGAGAAGATGTGGGAAAACTGGAACATTAATGCATTGTTCGTGGAGTTGTGAACTGATCCAACCATTTTGGAGAGTAATCTGCAACTAAGCCCAAAGGGCTATAAAAATATGCATACCCTTTGATCCAGCAATAGCACTTTTCTAGGACTGTATCCCAATGAGATCATACAAATGGGAAAAGGACCCACATGTACAAAAATATGTATAGCTCTTTCCGCAGTGGCAAAGACTTGGAAATTGAGGGGATGCTCATCAATTGGGCAATGGCCGAACAAGTTGTAATATATGAATGTAACAGAATACTATTGTGCTATAAGAAATGATGAGCAAATGGATTCAGAAAAACCTGGAAAGACTTGAATGGACTGATGCTGAATGAAGTGAGCAGTCACATTGTGTGATAATCAACTGTGATCTACTCAGCTCTTCTCAGCAACATAAGGATCCAAGACATCTCCAAAAAGGCTCATGATGAAAAACGCTATCTACATCCAGAGAAAGAACTACGGAGCTTGAATGCAGATCAAGCGTACTGTTTAATTTTCTATCGTTTCGTTTTGTTTCTTCTTTCTTGTAGTTCCTCCTATTGGTTCTACTTCTTTACAACATGACTAATGTGAAAATATGTTTAATAGGAGCCTATATCAGATTGCACGCTGTCTTGGGGAGGGAAATCAGAAGAGAGGGGGAGAAAATTTAAAACTCAAAAGCTTATGGAAGTGAATGTGGAAAACTAAAAATTAATTAATTTAAAAAAAAGAAAAAGAAAGAATTGAATAACTAGAGGGTTTCAAGCTGCCCAGGCAATGCACTGTGGAACAGCAGCAGCACCAGACCCAAGATGTCGGCCAGCAGGAGGCTGATGAAGGAGCTGGAAGAAATCTGCATGTGTGGGATAAAAAACTTCCCTAACATTCAGGTTGATGAAACTAATTTATTGACTTGGCAAAGGCTCATCGTTCCTGACAACCCTCCATACAACAAGGGAGCCTTCAGAATCAAAATCAACTTCCCAGCAAAGTATCCATTCAAACCACCTACGATCACTTTTAAAACAAAGATTTACCACCCTAACATCAATGAAAAAGGGCAGGTCTGTCTGCCAGTAATTAGTGCTGAAAACTGGAAGCCCACAATCAAAACTGCCCAAGTCATCCAGTCCCTCAGAACCCTAGTGAACGACCCCCAGCCTGAGCACCCCCTTCAGGCCCATTTAGCTGAAGCGTCCTCTGAAGATCATAAAAAATTCTGTAAGAATGCTGAAGAGTTTACAAAGAAACATGGAGACTAAATCTTCTGTGATTCAATTCCAACCAGAGCAAGGGGAGACATGGAACAGTGCATTTCCAACACTCTGCAATCAGGACTCTATGGGAAACTGACAGGGGTCACTTCTCGGCATCAACTTGTGGCAGTTACTAACTTTCTACAGTTTTCTTAATCTAAAATGCTCTAGGTAAACCTGTAAAGAAAGGATTAAAAATTTAAGATGTTCTAGTTCTGATTTGTTTTAAAAATCACTGCTTCAATCTAAAAAAAAAATTGAATAATTAGAAAGAAAGCAACAAAGAAGTGGGCAGTGAGGCAAAAAATGATGCTAAATGAACCAAATAATTTAATCAAACTATGAATCACACAACAGATTACAAGTTACTAAAACTCAAGCTCAACCTAATTTTTCCTTTTTTTCTGGCACATGAATGAAACCAAAAGTTTAAAACAAACAAAAAGCCACTCAAAAAAACCTAGGAAATACAACTCAGAAATGAAAACTGTATTTTTAGTGCCATCGAAATGGGAAAAAAACAAAACCCAAAATATCAAAATGCCCTCTGAAATGAAATTAGTTGGAATGTGAATCCTTGCACTAAATGAAAAGCCAAAGCATATATTTAGTATCTTAAAAATGGAAGGAAACTAAAGGACCTTAAAATATTCACCCTGAAAAATAAAGCAATTACCAAAAATGTGGTCATAAACGCCAAGGACTACAGCATCTATTTAATGATAACAATAACAATAGCTAATATTTATAGTGCTTTAAGTCTTGCAAAACACTTTGCATATATTATCTCATTAGATCCTCTCATCAACGTTTTGAGATATCAACTATTATTATCCTCATCTTACAGAGGAGAAAACTAAAGTTCAAAGAAGTTAAGTGACTTGGCCAGTGTCACACACCTAATATATGGGAGGAAGCATTTGAACTCAGGTTGTCCTGATGGCAAGTCCCAGCACTCTATCCACTACAGACCTAACCATTTAACTCCTTAAAGTAGCCTATCCAGCGTTCCGCCCTCACTGGGCTCAATAAAAGTTAACACAATACTAAGAAGAAACTGGAAATTCTAGAAGTTATCTATAACACAAAGAAGTTCAGAAACACAGAATTAACTCCAAAGCTAATTTCACACGATTACATCTACAGCTAGAAGCAACAAGAAAGATTTCAGATCATAAGCACCAAATCCTTATTCTTGGACAAGACAAAGACTCATTTGTGATGCTAAGTATTCTTAAGTAGGCTGCTGACATAAGGACATCGACAGATTTCCAATTTGTCTGGCTGGAGTGGTAATAAACAGCTGTCCTACCTCGCCTACCAAAACCTCCAAATGCTACAAGTAAATCTTTTTTTTCAACTTCTACAAAAGAATTTTGATGAAAAGCTTTTGGATCAGCCTTCCCTCTTCCACAATAATGCAGTCACTGCTCTAGAAAGTGGCCTATGTGATCGTGCAAGTTATTTAATCGAACTAAAAAGCCACCCAACTTAGTCTATCAAAGAATCAGTTCCACTGTCTCCCACAAAAAATAAAAGGGAGGAGATAATTTTCTTTTATTCTATCCTGCCCACTCAATTCCTGGCCAGGGCTTTGGGTTAGCCAACTGTAACACAACAGGTGCCCAATACATAGTGCTAAAGAGCAATTCAGCTTATTTACACGTTTCAGTGCTTCTCCTTACCTAGTCCAAGATGAAATCAAGCACTGCTTGGGAGTTTTCTATATCAGAACAAAGAATTATAATTCATATATATCATGTTCTATCCTTCAAGCAGAGAGGATGATAACAACACTGGATATAATTCCCCCTCCTTAGAAACTTGCTAACAGATATAATCAGATGGCTCATCCTTTGAAATTAACCTTTAAAGCAAAAGTATAATCTCTGGGATGTGGTTTCAACCATGATTCAAATCCACAAGCTTCAATTCAACTGAATCAAACATTTTCTGGGAAAAGTTTAAAAGGCATGAGAGTGCCCTTTCACAGGATATATTTAAAATAATTCCATATCTGATTTAAAGCAACCATTAGATAATTCATCTAATAAATTTTCTTATAAAAGTACATTTTTAATCTTTGATATCAATTTAATATATAGATTTAGGTTTCATTTTTAGAAAGTACCATCCAAAACCCCCCCCAACAACCAAAATTCATCTCATTGCCCAACATTTCTTCAGTGTCTCATCTTTAGTCCTAAAAGATGTTTTAGTTGGTACAACAAGCATTTATTAAATAGTTACTATCTAACAGGCATAGTGCCAGATGCTAGGGGAAATATAAATACCAAAGCAAAACAGCTCCTTCCTCAAGGCAATTACATTTTAATGAAAGCATAGGACACTTTCATAGAAGTATAAATAAAGAATATATAAAATACAAAGTGATAGGGTGAAGATTAACAATTGGAGGAATCAGGAAAAGCCTTATGAGGAGGTAGTTACTGAGCTCATTGCTGGGTATTCATGTCAAAGTTAAGCATTAAGAGTGGTACCAAATATAGACAAGTGCTGAAGGTCAGTCACAAGAAGTCAGATAACCACTCAGAAAACTTTTCCAATAAAAAGGTAGCATAAGTTATTTTAAGAAAAAAGAAATTATAAGTTATAATACCTATTTCACAACAGAGGCAGCTTGTAAGTATTCTGATAGTCCACTACCTATGTGGCCTTCAGCAAATTCAATAAACTCCGTTTAACCTGCAGTGCTAAAGGCTAAATGAAGGAGTCATTAAAATCTCAGTGTAAAGCCAACTTGTAACAAGTGATTTTGAAATTTGAAAAAAAGGGCAGACCTAAAAGTGCTGGAGACTGAAAAAAATCCAACTATCAAACAGAATAAAGAGTAGTTCAGATTGCCTACCTACTCCTACCATGCTCCCAACTTTGCACACTCATCTTTGGGTTAATCTGAGATTGATATAAGGTACCACTAACAACTGTGACAAGTGAGCTTGACTTTAATTCCTTTCAAAATTCCAAAGCAGACAGTTGAAGAGATGGTTAATGAACATCTTTAAAAAAAGAACACAAAGAAACACAAGACGGTATAAAGGAAAAGTGCTAGCCTTGGAGTGGGGAAA